TTTTCTCTTTAACTTCTACATGCTACCACTGGCTCAGATAATGAAGAACAACAAAATAAGTTACCATAGCTATGCAGATGCCACACACACATTAACATAACCATTTCACCAGGAGACTATTCTCCAGTTAAAACACTGAGTAAGTGCATTGAACAAATCAATGACTGGATGTGTCAGAACTTTCTCCAATTAAACAAAGATAAAACTGAGGTAATGGTTTTTGGAGCGAAGGCAGAACGTATAAAAGTTAGCGCTGAGCTTCAGTGTGCAATGTTCAAAACAACAGATAAAGCCAGAAATCTAGGTGTAGTCATGGACTCTGACCTGAGTTTCAACAGTCACATTAAAACAGTTACTAAATCAGCCTACTATCACCTAAAGAACATATCTAGGATTAAAAGACTAATGTCACAGCAGGATTTGGAAAAACTTGTCCATGCTTTTATCTTCAGTAGACTCGACTACTGCAATGGTGTCTTCACAGGTCTCACTAACAAATCTATTAGGAACCTGCAGCTGATTCAGAACGCCGCTGCTCGAGTCCTCACTAACACTAAGAAAGTGGATCACATCACTCCTGTTCTGAAGTCTTTACACTGGCTTCCTGTGTGTCAAAGAATATATTTCAAAATACTGCTGCTGGTTTATAAAGCACTGAATGGTTTAGGCCCAAAATACATTTCTGACCTCCTGCTAAATTATGAACCATCCAGATCTCTCAGGTCTTCAGGGACTGGTCAGCTTTCTGTCCCCAGAGTCAGAACTAAACATGATAAAGCAGCGTTCAGTTATTATGCTCCAAATATCTGGAAGAAACTCCCAGAAACCTGCAGGTCCGCTGCAACTCTGACTACTTTTAAATCCAGGCTGAAGACTTATCTTTTTGTTGCTGCTTTTAATTGAAACTGAGCCGTTGTGTTCATCAGTAAAGTGGAACTTCTGTGTGAACTATTCATAACTTAAACTGCACTGTAACTTTTTATTCATGTACTTTTTATTCATGTATTTTTTCTTTTAATGTTTCTTTTATTATCTTTTACTGTTTTTAAATGCCTTTGTCTGAATGTCTTTCCTTTTTGTAAAGCACCTTGAATTGCCTTGTGTTGAAAGGTGCTATATAAATAAACTTGCCTTGCCTTGCTTTTGGACCACTGAGCAACAGACCAGTTCCATTTGTCCTTAGCCCAGGTAAGACGCTTCTGAAAATGTCTCTGGTTCAGGAGTGACTGGACACGAGGAATGCGACACTTGTAGCCCTGGAGACGTCTGTGCGTGGAGGCTCTTGATGCACTGACTCCAGCCTCAGACCACTCCTTGTGAAGCTCTCCCAGATTTTTTAATGGCTTTTGCTTGACAATCCTCCCAAGTCTACGGTTCAAGGCTTTTATTAGTCATACGTACATAGCTACAGTGTAGTTATGACGATGAAAACCTTAGGTCACAGGCTTCTCCAGCACAGCAGCGCACCACAATAAAACAGAAAAAAATAGTGCAAGTAAATACAAAAAAGAAAATAGTAAAATAGTGCAATAAGAGTATATATACAAGTGATTAGAATATGATATATTAGATAAATAATTTGTAAGTTGCAGCCAGATGAATGTTATGGATGTTGTTTCAAAAGTTCAGGTGTTTAATAGTCTTATGGCCTGTGGGATGAAACTGTCCCTGAGTCTGGTGGTTTTAGACCTGATGCTGCGGTACCGCCTGCCAGACGGCAGCAGACAGAACAGTTCGTGGCTGGGGTGATGGGGGTCTTTTGTAATCCTGAGGGCTTTCTTCCTGAGCCGCTTTCTTCCTGAGCCGCTGGGAGTAGAGGTCCTCCATGCTCCGTCCTGGTCCTGGTGCTGTGCAGTTTTCACCACCCTCTGTAGAGTCTTACGATTGAGGCCGGGCAGCTGCCGTACCAGGCCGTGATGCTCTCACTGGTGCACCTGTAGAAGTTGCAGAGTATCCTGGAGTCCATGTTGATGCTTGTGCACTATGACAGTCTTCTGGAAAACTGTCAGGTCTGCAGTCTTTCCTGTGATTGTGTAGCCTACTGAACCAGATGAGATACCATTTGAAGGCTCAGGAAACCTTTGAAGGTGTTTTGAGTTGATTAGCTGAGTCTACAATATGGAATATTGAAATGTTCTGAGAAACTGAATTTTGGGTTTTCCTGAGCTGTAAGCCATCATCATCAAGATTAAAACAAATAAATACTTGAAATAATTCACTTTGTGTGAAATGAAGTTTCACTTTTTAAATAGAAATACTAAAAATGAATCAAAGATATTCTCATATATTGAGATGTACCTGTAGAGGAATACTTAATCAGGATTGCAGAAAAATGCGTCACAACTAAAAAGCATCTATCTCATAAGAGAATCATGGCGGAAGCCTCCCAATATACCTGGAACGTTAACGAGAAATGGGAAATACAACTACATTTTACAATCTAGGGTGATGTGTGGGAAGACTTGTGTGTTGGCAGCCATAAAGGAATTAATAGTCAGTAATTGTCGAGACGAAAGTCAATATGTAATAATATCTGTGAAAAACGGACTAATACATAATTATGTGTTTTCATTTAGAGTATTATTATTATTATAGTATTGTTCAATACCAGGAGAGGGTATTTGTTTTATTTTGGATAGCGTAGGCTACTTTTCATAAGCGAGCTGTAGAAAAAATATGAATGCCGCTTCCGGCAACACGGCTACAAAAGGGGTGTAGTTTGTGATGGCCGGTCTCTTGTTCTCAAAGCCACGGAGAGAGAACCAGGCGACAGTGTGTGTGAGGCTCCGGAGACGCCGTTGGTATGTTTATTGTGTTTATGTACTTGATCTGTTGCCGCACTTTGCGAGAGTGCTGTTGTGCAACTATTTTTTTTACGCAGCGCGGTCTGCCTGTGCTCCGTTTGTTTTCTGTGTAATTTAGACAGCGCAGGTGTTCAGATGAGGTTTTCTCTGGTGCTTGTTTCCAAGTGGAGATAAACACTCCTATTAATTCATTTAAGTTAATGATGTGGTTTTAAAGTAAAAATGTATCCTTTTTAATTAAAACATAGTTTGTGGTGCTATTATTATTATTATTGAGAATGCAGTGAGACCTGAAAAATGTTTGTAATTTGTGTAGCATGTGAGCTAACTTTTGTTTGTCCTTTGTGTTTTGAAGGTTTTCAACCTGATCAATTCTTGGAGCTGTCTTGAATAAATAAAGACAAAAAGAACGAATTTGAGTTGTCCAAAGCGTCCTCTGTTGCCCTCTAGCCTATCAAGTCAGGCTAAATCACTGGTACAGGCCAAAAACCTGAAGGACTTGACAGTAATGGAAATAATTTGATTGGAAGCTGAAGATCAGGAATTTAACACTCATTTCATAATTTCTAAGTATGAACAAGGACCATTGGTTGCGTTATGCTGGATGAAATTTGGAAAAATAGGGGACACTATACATATTATTTGGGACTGCCCAGCAATTGAAAGATTTTGGAAATCGGTTAAAGAGGACATTTAAATTATACTTGAAGCGCCTGTCCCAGTAGATCCTATGTTGTTCTTACTTGGAGCTAGATGTACAGAGACATACAATATAGACCAGATGTACAACTTACGGATACTCTTCTTGATCGCCAAGAAGATGATAACTGTGAACTGGAAAGACGCAAAACCTCCGACAATAATTCAGTGAAAGCAGACTTAAACAGGTTTACACAATGGAAAAGATGACTGCAAGTCTACAAATAAAAATGGACTCCTTTACCCAAAGTTGGAATGGTGTTGAAAGATACCTGGTTGTCTCACTAGCTGATAAGGATAGTTCGAACTAAACTGTGTTAAAGATTAATAATATGGGAACTGTCTGGTCTTTGTACAAATATACATTATTTTGTATTATTATTAGTATTTATTTTGTCTCTCTGTATTTATGTATTTCTTTATATTCCTTTGTATTTCATTTACATTATAAAATGATTTGCTGTACTTTGTTTTTTCATGTAACTGTGTGTTACAGCCGCTACTTTCGTTATGCCCTTAACTCTGTTTGTGTGTGCATATGTAAATGAGCTGTGCAGTTCCTCTACTGTCATTGGCCGTCCCGACCTCGCAACATCCGCGGTGATTGGACGGACGTCACCCAATCCCCGCCAGCTTCTGCCACGTCATCCGGGGGAGGAGTATAAAGACCGGGCACGGACACCATTCGGGAGGCTCTGTATTGTGTGACAGACGCCTCAACCCTCTCATTGTGACAAGGCCATTTTCTGTGATTCCTTAGACTGCCTAGAAGTGTGTTCAGTAGGGTTCTGTGCGAGCACACTGATTAGCAGTGTGTCGTAGTATTCTGTGTCTAGTATAGGGTTTGTGTGTGTGTAGTGCGTAGATCCAGGTTGCTTAGCTCCTGTAGAACCACATTTAGATTATTGACCTTGTGAAACAGCTTAGACCCAGGTTAGCTTAGCGCCTGTAGATCAGCATTGGTGAAAGTATTGCTTAGACCCCGGTGATTAGCACCGGTTGATCAGCAACAGCTGTGTTCCCACACAGCCTCCTTTTGTTTAGTGTTTCGTTCCACTTTCAAAGTGAGGTACGTTCTTTCTTTTGTAGCATACTGTGCAACTCTCTTTTGGAGTCCTCTTTTGTTAAATCATACCAGTTTGGTCCTTTGTTGGTCCAGGCTGTTCGTGTATTATTGTGTTCATTGTTTTTGGTTACAAATAAACCACAGGTAACAATTACCAATTCCAAACTGGTCGTGTCGTGTCCCTTTGGTCCCCCTAGCCCAATAGGGAACGTAACACTGTGGGTTATCTGAATGGAAAGTTCTATGTCACGATGTCTTGTGATATACAAATTAAAACAAACAGTTAAAAAAAAAGAAAGAAAATAAATGTAGTATTCAGTATTTCTGAATTGAAATATTCTGAATATAATTTTAAAATGGGAATCCTGCCCAGGTCAAATACAATATTAAGTGTGTAAAAGGTTCTATTTTAGTTATCATTAATGACTTACCTCTTATTTTCCCCCAGATTCCTCCCACAGAGCTGGGTTCGGATTTCACCTCACATCGGTCTGCAGACAAAAAATATTGTATTCTATGATATTGAGCGGAATTGAATATTAAGAGCACCAAAGACAACAGAGCAATGTGTCCTGTTTTAAAATGGTATTATTATAACGTTTTATCTTTGTAAACTTTTCCAACAATGACTTTAACATGAGATTCAAAGACCCAGTCAAGATGTGTGCTTTTTTTGTCCTCTCAGTAGGCATACTCTGCTCAAACTGACATGTGCTTGACCTAAAGGTCACACATTTACAACACTGGGGTTTGGCCAAAAACGACAACGGATCGTGGTCTGAATAAAAAAACGGATTCAACAACCAAGCATAGCAGCCTGAAGAAGCACTGTCTTTCATGACGATCTGAACTTAAATCCTGACCTGCTACAGACCACACCCACAGTGGTGCTGAAATGGTAACGTTATCTTCTTATGAAAAAGTGTGATCTAATCAGGAGCAAACACAATCTATAAATGTATACCCACGATCTTAGACATCATTTTTTTCAAAGCCAACTTTTCACTGCTCTGCTAAGGCGATAAAACTCCTTCAGTCTCCGTCCTCAAAGTGCAGACATCCTACAAAAGCCTCCTGTCAGGCTCAATGTAAATGTAATGTAATTCTTCCTTTTTTTGGTCGATTCAACTTCAAAGCTTTGGGCTTATACATACTGGGTGTTTCTCAATCTCGAGTACACTTGCTTGTATGTTTGCCGAGCATCTGGTTTCAGAAGCGAGGCAAGAATACTTCCTGGCATTCGGAAAACGAAGAGCAGAACAGGAGAGCAGGTGTGCGTCATATGAGAGGCCCCGCCTTACATTTTCCGCCACAGATTTGGGGAAATTGGTCCGTGCGCAAAGCATTGTGGGGATTTTAAGACCGCGGAGTCTACACATGTGCAGCCTCGACATTTCTCCAAACTAAGTACGCCGGGTTGGTAGAATTCCAAGTATGCTGGACATTGGAACAGTACTTCGGCGGCACTCGATGACGTAGTATGCTTGAAATAGTGGCTCTGGAACAGCTTTACTCGAGATTGAGAAACACCCACTGTTTTTTCTCCAGCAGATGAAGAGTCCGGTGGAGAGCAGCAGCAGCAGAGGGACGAGCAGCAGGGTGGTGATGATGGCTGGCAGAACAGCCTGCCCCCTGCTGGGCTGAGCTGCACTCTTCTTCTTCTCTGCTGCTTCTGTGTAGGCTTCATGCCGAGCCACAGTTTGCTTCTCTTGGACGGCTGCTGCCTTCGACATATTGTGCTCCGGCCTCAGTTTAGTTTGGACAAACGTCTCCATTTCTATTTAGAGAGAAAGTATGTTAATAACAGGGTTTCATTGATGCCTGATTTCAGGCCCTCTTATTATCATTACAGCATTAAAACTGTAACATTTAAAAATACACACCTTCAAGTTCTTGAACCTCGATTCCAGCTTTCTTGACAGACCGATGTAACTCTGAAAAATGAAGATGGAAAAAAATGTAGGTATTTGTTAAATCCAGTAGTGGAATAAGATTGCACAGTTTAATAACATAGAACATATAATTGGAGGATGAATCCCTCTTTAACACACACATGCATACAGCACACACAGTGAAAGTTGGTCTCTACATTTAAAAAGGAGGAGGAGCCTGTGATGTTGCCCTCTGTGTCGTAGTTGACAGAAACTGCTTTGAAGCGTGGCACAGATAAAGACAGAAAAAACTGATTTTTGTACATAATGTGTATATATATATATTTGTATTATATTTATAATAACACTTTTGCCATATCAGAATGAAATCACATGTACATTATTTAAGCTTTTAAATATTTTGTTGTGCCTACTGTGTCACTGTTGACAGAACTTGAGAAATGAGGGGAAAAGCCTATGGATACACCTGTTATTTGTTCATACAATTTGTATATAGGTTCATGCTACCTCAATCAAACTTTCACATTATCATAGTGACATGCCATGTATATATTTCCAGCTTTCAAATGGTTTTGTTGTGTATGTTTGTGTTACCTATATGAAAAATAATATCATTTTCAAAATCTGTTTTTACGTTTTTTTGTGATTTTGGGTCCAAAATGTTCATATAGTATCTCAAAATGACATAAATAACTATCAGGTTATATAGGTGAGGTTGTCCTTAAAAAAAAGATACCAAACATTGACATGCCAAACATTTCTTAATGGGGACAATTCAAATCAAATCAAAAGTATGCGAAAACGGCCAAATTAGCCCTGGACTCCAAAGGGTTAACCTTCAGCAGCGTTTATATGTGTTTTAATGCCATTGAACACAACTTTTGATCAGAAAACAGCAAAGCTAAGTCTTTGCTTGCCTTCACTGCCGTGAGTTTTTGACGCACAGTGATGATACGTATTCCATTGGAATCTGTGGAATCTCAGCTTTCATATGATATCTAATTTGTGCAGATCCAATGAGGTATAAAAGATTGCTACTCTTAGTGCTAATTCAGACGCTCTGCGTTAGAGTTGTGTTTTGTTTAGGTACAAATTGTTCATATCGTCAGTTAGCTGAGTTTCTTCCCGTTAAGTGGATCGGACACATTAATAGGTTGTTAAATGTTAAGAAGCCCTGAGACACAGTTTTACGCGGGCATGGGGTTTAACAGGTTAAGATAAAATACAGTTGCACAGTTTACAGTTTTAGTTGCACTTTTGATGAGAACATGTACGTTGTTTTGTACAGTTTATATAAATACAGAAATATTTGTGCGCAGCTCATTCTGTTAAAAAAATAAATAAATCGTGAGAAAATCGTATCGTGAACTTAAAATCGTGAATCGTAACATCCCTATTTCATATGATAAGGTTTTCATAAAAAATGATCTTATAGATACTTATTTAAAAAAATCAAAATGATTTCTGCAAACGAGATTAGATGGATTGTTCACATTAGAAGTTGTAATAGTGCCAGTTTATCATTGTCTTAATAAGGCTGTGCTTACTCTCAGTGGTGAACTTGAAGACTGATTTACTGCCTGCATCCCCGACAAACACGCAGCCATCTCCTCTTTCAACCATGTCGTGAGGCATTTTAAACTCCTGTTAATGAAAGAAAATACAGATTAATGCAAAAGTTAGAGCAACAAAAATGATGCATCACATCCCAAACCTTTAGGTTCAGTACACTGTGTAACTGTGTGTATCATTACCTTTTCCTCTGGTTTGAAGATATCCAAAATATCCAGGGTGGAATAATCAATTACAAAACCTCGAAGTGGAGCTGAGCCAAACGGAGATTCCCCATTTACTGCGAAAATCAAGCCATCTTCACACACACACACACACACACACACACACACACACACACACACACACACACACACACACACACACACACACACACACACACACACACACACACACACACACACACACACACACACACACACACACCACACACACACACACACACACACACACACACACACACACACACACACACACACACACACACACACACACACACACACACACACACACACACACACACACACAAGAGTGAATACTTAAATTACCAACAATTCATAAAGGAATATTCTAGCATTTACTAATGAATTTCATCATGCAGCTCAATATTATCTTATGAACCTGTCTGCCTGATTTACCTCACGTTTGTAAAACAAAATAACCATGCAGATTGTTATGTAATCTGTTTTTTCACAAGACTTGTAAAATCATCTTCAGAACACAGCAAGCCACAACTGACCTATTGAGAGTATAAAACGTTTAAACAGTTCTGTAACCTAGAGGCTGAACTACCAAGCCGGTTCAAAATACCCCGGATATCTTTGTGTTATCTGGAACTACTACCCTAACAGATGGCATCATGCTCCTGTACCACCACTCTGGTTATCAACTCGCTAAGCCAACACAGAGTGTCTCAGTCTGGATATAAGCGTGTCCACATGAAGGGACAATTGACCAAAAGTTACTTATGTTGTGGGTCATTATAAGATATTTATGTAAGGCAAATGTATAGTCAGATTGTTGATGGGCTGTGATATTTTATTAATTTACACACTTTCACGGTCAGCCTTTTATTGTGTTTCCTGTAGCCTGGAATATGTCTTCATAGTGCCCTAGTTCACTGTGCACCAAGCTCTGATTGGTCAGTTTTTCCTTTATCTCAAACATAACCTGCTCTTGAGCATGTTAGAGTCAGCATAAGTTACCATGGCGATGTACCCAGGTAGGAAGTGAATCAGTGTTCTGAACCCAGATTTAAGCATGAAGTTACCTCGCTTACCCCAAATATGGCTTCTAGTACAGGGCAGGCCACAGTTTGGGCATTACAACTGAGCAACAGGAAATAAAGGTGTGATGGGTGTTCATGATCTCACCGCCAGCAGGGCTATACGTGATGGCGAACACCTCCCCCCCAAACTCCTCTTTCTTGATTTCCTTAACAAACTCTCCAGTTTGGGCTATGAAGCACTGGATGCGTCCGTTCTCCCTGTCAGCCACACAGACTTCCTGTCTGTCGGGGAGGAATACCAGGCTGTGGGGGATCCGGAATGGTATGCGCCTCCTCCTGTCTGATGAGCCTTTAGCAAAAAAACAAACAAAGAAATGTATCCATACCTTACACTTCTCTTACTTTCTTCAGTGAGGTTTGTTCTTACAATTCTCATAAACTGATTCACAGGGGGAACCGGTTGAAAACAGTGGAGTGAGGTCACGTTTCACAAAGCTCGGTTAAGTAGTGGTCAGTGGTCACATTTTTGGGGACCACAGTAGTCCATGATTTGTTGACCCTGTCACACATTGCTTCGAGAGACACAAAACCAAACAAGGTGCCAAATGGCTCATCATCAACTAACACACATTCACACAAACTAACATGCATGTCTATGGCTTCCGGAGTAATTTTGGGTTCAGTTTCTTGCCCAAGCAAACACCATACGGACTGATGGAGCCTGTACTCTTAAAGTCAGTGATGCAAACACAGGTATGGTGAAAAAAGAGAGAACTATTCAAAGCAGAAAAAAAAACAGCGTAATAAACCATCTGACAAAGGCCTGTGCTATAATGCTTCAGTTAACTGCTATTCTTTATAATATACTCAGATCAATAGGAGATGTTAAGTTAAAAATCAAGGGTTTTTATTATTATTTACAGCAGGGGTGGGGAACGTTTTTCCTCCGAGGGTCGTACAAATGATTAAAAAAAAACTAAAATCCCAGCCCATTCATTTGGCATTTATTTCATGCTGTGCAAAGAAAAAGCAACCTCTTAATCCAGATATTTTACCATGACTCACGCACACACGCATGCATGTGCACGGTTGTGGCATGACCACCAACACAGAAAGATATGGACACAAGATGTGTGCAAATGTATTTAGTATCCATGTGAACATGATTTAAGTGGGGGGGACCTAAGATTTTTTTTTAAATATTGAAGTTAAAAGCATCAGTCTGGTGCACTTTCAGAGCAAAATGAAGAGATCTATGGATACATCTCTCAACACCCAGATGAAACAGAACTGGAAGCAGATTTTTCTTTTTGGATATTTTACAAATCACTCCCCTTTTAAACTCTATTCTTGTTATTTTTAACAACTTTTTTGTTACTGTCATATAGTATTTTATATCTGTTTTTCATTTAGTCTCTAATGCATGCCCGGCGCCGTGGGAGGGCCAGGCCCTCCCATTTGACATTCTTGCCCTTCCCCAATAAACACGATTTTTATTATTTATAAAAAAAAATATATATATTTATATTTGTTATAAATAAACTGGGAACTTTTATGCTACGATGTATGTGATGTCAGATAGTAACTAAAAAAAAAAAATCGCAGGCTATGTCAAATAAATTCATGTGTCTGTTGTGATTTGTGATTCGTCCACATTTAGACCAATCACAGCGTCACACTCTGCCGCCTATTCTGGATTTGTTTATTGTGCATTCAGTAGACTCCCATTTCTGTTTGAATTACACAATGGACATCAGAAATTGGCTCAAAAGGTCTAAGGATTCAAACAAAATAGCGATGAAAGAACTGCAGCCGATGCAGCTGCTGGCGACCCTGCACCTGCCGTTGCAGCAGCACGCCTTAATGTCACAAGCTTGACCTCGGCAAACCCCGGGGCTGAGTTAGCGAGCCCAAGCCTTGACTCATCAAGGCGGCCGCCACCAAAGCTTTCCTCCGAGGCACAGCTCCTTGTGCCCCTGCCATCACCACCTGCATTGCCACCCTGTACCACACCCGCCAGCATCCTCCTCCTGCTCCGTGCCGGTGCCTCCACTACAGACGCTACCTCGCAGCACATCAACAGGTACTATTGGGCCAGCAACCGCTCAAAGATCAACAGCCCCAGATGATCTTGGGGTTAATAAATCCAACCAGGTGAAACTGGATCGTTACCAGGGAGATTGTTTTCAGGAAAGAAGTGCACTTTTGCCGCTGCATGGTACAACAACAGACCATGGCTTGAAGATTCGTTAAAAGCAGACGCAGCCTTTTGTTTCCCCTGTAGACAGTTTAAAGTCAATGCATCTTCATCTGATGCGGCTTTTACTGTCAAAGGTTTTTGCGACTGGAAACACGCATTACAGACTGATAAAGGACTGCTAAGCATGCCGCATCAAAAGAACACATTTCATGTGAGAGTTTGTGGAGAGAGAGATACGCGAGGAAACAAATAAGGAAATTAGTACTTTGGTGCAGATCAGCTGGCACGGAGCCGTCATTACGTGTCAGCTGTCATTGATATTATAGCTTTTTTAGCTGTCAACCAACTACCTCTCAGAGGTGACCACGGTTCACTCCACAGCATGTCCGAGTCAGGCAGTGGGCTCTTCCTATCGCTGTTTGAGTATACGCTGCAGTACAAAGATGCAGAGTTGGCCAAAATAATGGAAAGCATTCCCCACACAGCAACATACACCTCTCACGACATGCACAATGCCATAATAGAGCTAACAGCAGTTCATTGTCTCCGTCTATTTCTCTCCGAGTGCAGCGATGAGGAAGCTGCCATCCTTAACCAGTGTGCCTTGCTCGTAATTTACCAGTGTCTGTGTTGCCACGCACACAATGTTTCAAAAGTGGTTTCTATGTTGCTCTTTATTTGTGTATGTGTTTGCGATAAGTGTGCGTCTTTGCGCAATGCTGTTGGCCTTGCTGTTTGATATATTGTGCCGCAGGCCCGCAGCACGTGACGGTGTTGTGTGCCCTCCCATGAAAATCATATGCCCTCCCTTTAGATTTGTTCTGGCGCTGGGTCTGCTCTAACGTCTCATTAATAACTATAATGATCATATCAAGGTGTGCCTTAACCTCACTGAGCTGAGGTTATTTGAGCCTCTCAGGAGAGAGCTCTCTTCCACCTGGTTGTAGAAAAGCTCTTTAAATTCGTTAGCATAGCTAGCTAACCAGATGCTAATAACAACAGATCGCCACTGTGCTTACAACTAGGGGTCGGCTTGGCCGATTATCGGGGCCGATATTCCGCATTTGACCGATTATCGGTATCGGCCTTTTTTTAATCAAATTGCCGATACAACTTTGGCTCTGATGCGGCCGTTTCTCTGGCTGCAGTCACCACTCTGTGTACACGAGCAATGACCCGCCCACAGCGCTATCTGATAGGCTATTACTGAAGATTTTCCGGGCGGGAGCCAGCCAGAGAGGCGGGACCTTCTCAGATTACAGGCAGGTGCGAAAGAACGCAGACACAGACTGAAGCAAGCAGCAGCGCTGAGCGGCAGAGCCATACATGTGTTAAACCGAAGTTCAATACACATCACAATCCCCTATGCTGAAGTTGCAAAAACACCACGATCTTATGATCCAATTCAATCAGTTTCCCAGTTACACAGGGACGCGGGAAGTCAGTCAGAGTTGGGGGTGCGTGCAGCGTCTCGCAGCGGAGTAACTGTGGTACGGAGGGGAGGGGCTGCGAGTGGAGCCTCGCAGTTTTTCAGGTTGATATGTGAAGCTCATTAGCTAGCCAACATGTATCTAGCAAATGTTTAGCAAAATATTAGAAGTGAGGCTCCTAGACTAACGTTAGGTCTACTGTAATAGCCTCACTTTTAATAGTTTTCAAAACATTAGCTAGCACTAGTGTTTTGCAGTTGCTAGCAGCTTATTGGGATGTTATGCTAGATAGACAGATATAATAAATTAAGCATTATTGTTAGTTAAGCATGTCAGCCTGCAGCCCCACTTCTTGTCTCTCTCTCTAACTCATTGCAGATGACTGCACTAAAGAAAAGGGCACAGAGAGGAAACCAGTTGTAAGATGTTTAAAAGTTCATTAAACATAATATATGCTTAAATGCATTTCAAAGAAGTTGTGTTGAGTTGTGTTGGAGTTTGTGTTATTCTACATTTTGACACCAAGATTTTCTGATTTTACTGCAAATGTATATCGGTTCCAAATATCGGTTATCGGTCTCCTTGATTACTAATAATCGGTATCGGCCTTTGAAAAGCCATATCGGTCGATCCCTACTTACAACTAAAGACACAGCCACGCAAACACTGAGGCATGTGTACGGCTCCTTATGGGTACTGCAATATTTGAAGAGCTGGAACGGCGTTGCGGTGCTCTCAGTCAGCACTCTAGTGCTTTCAGACGAGACATAACCACGTGAAGACACGTTACGCTCGTGTTGTGTTCAAGGAACCTGTCTTTGGCCAGTAAAAACAGGCACTCGCTTGTTTAATTATTTTGCGATCTAGATTTCTTCTTTTTTGAAGTGAGAAGTTGTCCATCAGTCGGACGGACTCCCCCCCCCAAAACGAAAACGTGGGAGGCACCGAAAAGCGACAAATTTGCATCACTGTAAAGTTCAAACTCAATCACCAAACTGTTGAACTCTTGACTCCTTTAGATCGGTCCTCAAGTAAACATAGAATCTTCTGAAGTTATTAAAACTTTGGAATTTAGAAAATTTCTGAAGCAGCAGGCGTTTTAAGAGTACTGTACGAGATTTGTTTATTGTCTTCTTGAGTTTTACAGCATGTTTATGCTTATGATCAACAGCTTCACTTATTCATTGGACATCTCATCTGTCCCTCGATTCTCGTCAAAGGACTGCAATTCATTAGAACAAAAAAACTGGGTTTGCATTTGGAAGCTTTCCTGCCAGCTATGATTTAGAATGGTGTGTGTTGTTGGTGATGCTTGATGCAATAGTTGTCTTACATTTGTATATATGTTACATACGAACCCATTACACGCTGAAATAAGCCTTGTAATAAATGTCATGTATTAGCTTACTTAAAGAGAAACTCTAAATGTTTGTTTAAATTGTATTTCATTTTGTTAACAAGCTTCATCTATCAAAACTATAGGTTACTAGCGTATCCTCGGTTCTCAGAGTAACATGAGAGAGATGTCTCACTATGGGATGCGCCTCCCCACATATGCCTCAGAAGCATCAATCTCATTACGCCAATCCTGATTGGCTGGTGATCTTGACGACTACGTCAGGGAATCCACCCACCCTTTAAGTAGCTTGCGCTACGACGCAGCATCATTCACGATAAGCACCTCTTCTCGCTTCGCCTCAGCAAGAAGGGCTGTCTGGT